ATCCTCTAGGCTGAGAATGTGTATAATCAGCCACTTCAATTCAAGAAAGTAATGTGGCATGTAGGTGACCCAATGCCCCATGAGGAATCTGTGGCATCAGCAGCGGTAAATACTATCAATTCATTGGAATGAACACAAGTTTTCAAATCTATAGAATATTAGTGATTGATCATTACTTGCTTTTTTAGGTTGGTTCTGCAATCAAAGTAAAAGCTGCTGCAATTGTTGTGTTCACATTCTCAGGGAGAGCTGCGAGGTGCTCCACTTTATTCCATGATCAGCACGTCAGTAGACACATTTCCATCATACAGAGCAATCAATTCATTTTATGCTTATCTGTCCACAGGTTAATTTCTAAGTACAGGCCAACAATGCCAGTTTTAGCAGTTATCTTCCCACGTGAAGGATCTGATCCATCAAAGTGGCGTTCTTATGGCACAACACAGGTAACTTGTATATGTCTTTGATTCTGTTGAGTTTCATGCTTGTCGTGAAGCAGGATCAGCGAACTTGTGTGTAACCATTATTATATCACTTTCAGGCAAGGCAATGTTTCGCAGTGAGAGGCGTGTACCCTTTGATGGGGAGTACTGATGAGGTATGTCGGCATTTTTTTTAGAGCTATATGTAAACAAAACATTTGGCTAACCATGCATGGTTAATCTCCAATAGGCTGAAACTGGTGGGCTAACAAAGGAAGAGTATGGGATAAAACTTGCGGTGAGCTATGGTCGGTCAGTCGGCATAGTGAAGCCTTTCGACAGGTTGATAATCTTTGAAAAGATCGGTGATTCTTCTGTTGTCAAGATCATCGAGTGTGAAGGTTAAGCATTAGATACCTACAACCCATGCTATAGTTTCATGTATGACATGGGAGATTACCTCCAGTTTTTTCTCAATTATTTAACCAATGATAACTAGATAGTACAGAGTGCACCAGATATCTTGTTAGGCGATATTGCCCCCTTTTTTTCTTCAGATTTTGTATCTTTTGATGCAATAAACCATGATGTCACAGATTCATACTGGAACTATGATTTGATAGCAAATATATAGGATTGTTGACACCATACCATGAGTTGTCGTCGCTACCTTATTCTATTGGACATCACGTGATGCACTGCATAACATCCGAAAAGACAATCTTAGGACATTATCAGTTAATTAACCTATACTGTTGTCTATGGTACACTCCTGCAACCTTGCCGCCGCTGTAGTTGGTACGCTCCAATCAGTACTGCTCCTTGAAGAACACAGCATAGATGATGCTGCAGATGGAGATGATGATGATGACGATATCAAAGGTGAGCGCAGTCATGGCCTGGTCGCTGAGCTTCATGTTCTTGCCGCCGAGGCGGTCAACCATGTCCGGCACGGATTTGTAGTTGATGATGTCCTGCTCGAAGGGGTCCTCGAGCCTGGACCTGAGCTGCTGCAGGCGCCGGCTCTCGGCCTCCTGCGCCAGCGTCCAGTCGTAGAACCGCCGTGTCTCCTCCTTGCTCAGCACGTTGTACACCTCCCGCAGGCGGATGAACTTCTGCGACGCCACCTTGAGCGGCAGCGTCGTTGTGTCCGGGTGATACTCCTTGGACAGCCGCCGGTACGCCGCCTTGATCTCCTCGATGTCCGCCTCCGGCGCTATCCCCAGGAACCTGGGTTGGGTTATAACAAGTCGTGTTATATGTTTAGCCACAGATTTTGCAGTTCAGTCATGGAACATGATGGATCGCCGATAGACGATGGTAACATAGTATTGACATGATGATGACAGTATCTCGAACAGAGGTTTTGGTGTTTAATTCCAACAAATATATAAACTGGACGGCAACAAGATTGAGTGAATTTGCAGATATGAACTACGATTCAGAAAGACAGATGACGAGAATCTGATGAATTGGGATGTCGGCCAAATTTGTGTTCAGAGTTTCAGTTTGAATGCAGAGATTGGGAATGAACTCAACTGGTAGTGAGACTCGGACGCGTTGTTGATGAGGTCGGCGAACCTCCCTCCCAACGGCTCGTTCTTGCTGCCGCCGCGGCCGCGGCCGCCGTCGCCTTCCTTCTTAGCGTTGCCCCCTACCCACCCTTCGTCAGGGTTGGACCAGTGTATCCTGGTGTCCACCGTCTTCTTCTTCCCTGGTCCCGCGCCGTCCGCCGTCGCTGGAGTCGGTTCGGCTTCGGGCGTGCTCGCAGCGGCGACGACGACTGCTTTCTTGCGCTGCTGGTGCCGGTGGAGGAAGGGCATGAAGGTGCGCGAGGCCGTGGACGCTGCCATGGGAAATGTGTGTGTAAGTGTCTGCGCCGGCAGCATTCGAAGGTGTGGAGGGAGTTGGTAGGTTGATGAGGCTCTTACATTCGAGCTGTGGTGGTAGCAGTAGCAGGTTGATGAGGTGTCGCTGTTCACTTCGCCAATGGCCACATAATAGAAAGAAAAAGAAACGGTAGCCATAGCCCCAACGAAAAACTGCAGAAATTCTCTGCCGCAGGAACACTTGTGTTGTCAGTAAGATTGTACTGTGCGCAACTAAATTCATCCGCACAGCTATCCTGATTCCTGACCCGAGGTGGGGGGTGTAAAAAAAGAAAAAGCAAAAATGGAGATGCGGGGGATCGAACCCCGTGCCTCTCGCATGCAAAGCGAGCGCTCTACCATTTGAGCTACATCCCTGTCTTGAATGCATTGTCAAATAAATTATATTACATAGGAACTGAGTGATAGAAAATGAATAATGACGCAACATGTGATTTTATCTTACTGAATCATGCAGAAAGTTTATAATGGAGAAAGGAAAGGTAACATTTTATCTTGTTGGATTCCACCATATACATATGTGCTATTGTCTATCGATTAGTGTACACTTCAAAACACAAAACTACAGGTCTAATTCTGTCGCTTTATTACTGTCGGTGTTTTCCTGTTGGTCTTTTTCTGTCAGTATTTTGCATTTTCCTAGGAAATCTTAGTTGCCAGTAGTGAGGTTAGTTATCCTAATAATACTGCATTGATCGTATCCTAGCAGTGATCTAGTATGCTCATCTTGATCAACATCCCAACAATTCTAGTCGTCTCCACAATATCCATATGTTCATCGGTGGAATATATGTAAGCTAATGTGTGCTAGCCAGCACTGAGCATCCCACACTATGGTACGTAGGCTTGAGTTCATTGTGAGAGGACATCTACTTACAACTTAGAGGTGGTTTCAACCTCCATACATGTTTGCACGCTACTTCCACATTGCATAGAGTGGTGGTCTCGCAAGCAACAAGAGTTGCTTGCAGAAGCAGGGAGTGCTCCATCTGACAAAAAGCTAAAGCCCCCACTTAATTGCGTTAGACATAATCTTGAGACCATACTGTCTGCATGCATGTACGTTATCTCAAAAAAGCTAGGGTTACCATGATTAAAAATCTGTTGGTCTGTGCGTTGGGGGGTTAGAAGTCCAATGTCTTTTTGCTTTTCTACTGTAGTTTTTTTTATGAAACTAATAACTTTGTTGGCTTGCATTGTGCCCTTAAAGGCCTCGAGGTCTTGCGTCGTCACCAGGTAGATCAACACCTCAAGGGTTGGCCTCACCTTGAACCCCTCTTGAACTATTACCTCAGTAGATTGGAATAGACAAGTTGTTCCCAAATACTGCCACAAAGTTAAAAGTGATATTCAAAGTACAAACTATACATCGCCCTTTTTTACTTTAATTTAAAAAGTGATTGGCAAAAACTACTATCCGTCACTTTTTATTTTTTTAGACCCATTACACATACACGGCTCATATACTCATCCCTATAAATACAAGCACGCAAATCTTATTTCTATGAGTATTTCTGAAGAACTGAGTTTGACTAGAAAATCTCAAGATTAACTAAGTCACCACAGCCACCTCGTTGTCGACAGAAAAAATGATGCTGTTAAATTATGGAATAAATCTAGAAAAATACGAGGACATGTGTCAAGAGTTTTCCATAAAAGCAGATCACGTTTCTACAAAGTAACCTGGTATTATTTACACTCATAACTCTTATAGTGTAACATATTTTCTTAAGGCTCGTACACATAAAAAAAAATCTCGAAAGAACGGCCAGAGAATTGCCACGACTTCTACTAGAAACACCACCACCAAACGCCCTGACCAGTGCTACCAACGAACAAAACCAACAGAGTAAAACCACCTCTGCATAAGTACTGTGAAATGTCATACATAAGTACATAGAGATCATCGGTATAGGGACAATGTTACTACCTTCGTTGTCTAAAAAGCCTACAGAGAATTTACTACTGAGTTTAGAGATGCATGACTTGGTGAGATCTGTCACTTATTACTTTGACATAGCGTGGGATTTCCTCCTCCGCTTCTTCCTGTTGATAGGGGCGGTAGAATTTTCCATCAGGTATGCTTTTGACATGCAGCCTGTTCGTTTCGGCTGGATTGGCTTATAAGCCATGGCTGAAAGTACTGCTGGCTGGTTTGGTGTGAGAGAAAAACACTGTTGGCTGGCTGATAAGCCAAGACTTATAAGCCAGATACAGGCTGCCGAACAGGTTGATGGTCCGTGGCTGTGTAATCTCTGGAGCAACTGAGCAATACATTGCGCTTTGAGGGCACCAAATCTCCCTTTTGCACTCTACCGGTGCTTGTCTCTGGTCATCGTAGAAACTGTAACACCCCAGGCCCGGCACACGGCACAGGCCCACTCAACCGAGGGGTGTGCCCTACCTACGTAGCACCACTTGCGCTTTCGCCCTCGCTTCTCGCAAAACGGTTAACCAAATGTTACTACGCATTTTTAGCCTAGCTATTTAAATCGGTCTGGCCGTCATAGATTCGGACCAAAGGGTGGTTGCACAGTGTTTCACGATACTACAGTAACTCACTTGAACAGTGCTGAGCAACAATGTTGCGTTGCAACAGTAACCTCCGGTTTTGGTCCGGCCCACCTACAGCGGACCATAGCCCCCGCGCGCGGTTACAGTGCATCGGCCCAACCGAAATTCAGCCCGTTTAGGCGGGGATGTTACGGAAACCTTCTTCAGCTTTGGGAAGCATCGTCTCCGAGATCACATTCTGTTCAACCTGCAGAAACTGGCTAGAATGTTTGTCAGGCAAGAGGTAGGGGGACACATGGCACGCCAACTTAAGAGGAAACCCATTATTATTGTCCATGGCTTTAGGCAAGGCATAGCAGAATGTAGTAACTCGAATCACTGGCTGAGGAAGCACCATAATTCCGGAATTTGGGCATTCCAGATTAGGGTTATGCGGTGGGCCACAATCAGACCAGAGGTATTCCCGCATCATATGGCGGCACCACATCCACTTAGCTGACAGATCTGAACGCCATCGATGGCTTTGCGATCATAGTTTTAAATCTCCCGCTATAGCTGCCGCTATAGCCTTTTGAGGCAGGATGTCGCTATTTGTGTTTATGTATAATTTAGCCGCTATATCCCATTATAACTCGATATAGCTCCGCTATTAGCTGTTTTAGACATATACCGCTAAACGTCTTGGCCCACTGTTTAAAACATTGTTTGCGATGCTATGGTTTGATGCAGCAGTCCCGTGATGGCAACGCGCGCGGCACCGAACTGTGGAGGCAGGAGGTCCAGGCAGCTCGTGGCGATGGCCAGTATGTTTGCGGCCTCTGATAGACGGAACGAGACGACCATCTTCAGGTTTCTCTGCCACGTGACCTCATCCTCACGCGACACCATGTGATACGCCTCCAGTTCGTCTTCATCCTCGGCGTCTGGATCCTGCCATGGCCATAGCAGAACAAGGTCGCTGCTGCCGGTGCCGGGTCTTTGGAGGGAGAACTCCACCGAGTTGCCGGCAAGCAAAGATTGTGTCAGCGATGGCAAGGACGACGGCACGCTCCTCTCTGGACGACGACGGCCGCTGGACTCAACCACCAGCCTGAAGAAGCTATCCGCGCCGTCAGCAAGCCTCTCGAACCTTTGCAGCGTGCTGTCCCTCAACTCGTCTTCTTCTCTGTGCTGCCGCGGAAAGGAACAAATCGTTTGGCCGCATGGATCAAGTACTGAGAAAACGAGGAGGTACCTATGGCGCTGCGTTCCAAGGTTCTCTTCTTGTGCACATGTAAGAGGCTGTCGCCTTCCACGGCAACGCGCTTCAGCTTGGCCTTCCAGTGCAGCAAGGGGAGGTGAGTGATATGAAGGTCTTCTGAGACGGCAACGATGCTTTGGATTTTCAGCACTGCCATCTCCAGCCTCTCAGCTTTGTCTTCGGCACTCTGGTGACTAGCAGTTCTGTCGCCTGATACGAGGGTGGATATCCTGCTCACTGCCTCGCTAGCCACCGCAGATGCTACGATTTCTGCCATTAGTATCTAGTTGAAAGAGAGGGCGAGGGGTCTTCACTCTTCAGCAGCAACTAAGGAGCTATTGCTTCAGCATCTGTACTAACTTCCTCTAAGCAGATGAAATGATTGGTCACTATTGATAGTCAGTCAAACAAAGCAGGCTACATCAGAAAGGCGGTGTAGTCAGAAAGCTGTCCCTGGTGAGCCAGTGAGAGAAAAATTCTTCATCTCTATTAAGTGAAGATGGTGATTGGGAGACATGTGGGCAAACAGGAAAGCCTAGAAGCGACGTCTAGGTCGCCAAGGCCTTGAGTTTCATCAGTGATCCGAATCGGAGTGTGACAGTGACACCCAAAACTTTTCGGCGACACAACACAGGAGTGCGACAGAGGTAGCATAGCATATCTCCCGCCGATATGCGTTAAGTTGCCGAGACCACCAACCTAGCTTCTATTGGGGCGCGCGACTGGTGGATGAACGTGGCAAAATCTAAGCTGGTGAGTGCGAATCCAAAAACGCAATCGTGTGTTGTTTTTAGTCGTATATATTATATATAGTAATATAAACAATAAATACATAGATGAACATTAGTACCACAGGGAGGGAGATCGATCCAGGAATTTTACGTAGTACCAAATACATACATACATACATATATATATATATATATATATTGTAATATATAAGTCCCAAAATATATGTAGGGATTAACCATATATTACATAGTAACTAAAATCACCATTAATTATGCATGCAGCAAGTCTATAATGTAAAATTTTGTTGATACCCAAAATATCAATACAAACAGGAAATATTAAAGGAACTTACATGCTTCAAGTGAATGGTACTCTACGTGTCTGAATTTTATCGAAGTCATCAATAAGTTTATCTATTGTAAACTTCATTGCTATCTCCTTTTCAATATAAGTTATTAATTAAGCAATTTCTTACAAACCTATCTTCCATCTTATTTCGAAGTCTTGTTTTAGCAAGTTTCATTGCAGAGAAGGCAGGCTCTGTTGTTGCTGTGAACAGGTAGGGTTAGAACAAGCCGAATTAAGCTACCAAGAAAAGTAGTATTAGCATTTAAAAATAATAATAATAAATGTAATGAACTAAATTAAAATAATAAATATTTCATACCCGTCGATCAAATAATAATCATCTGATTTTCCAGTTTCAGCTAGTCGACGACAGAGATCAGCAATTGTTGTCAAGTTCTAAAATCTAGGATTTGTAGGTAAATCAAGTTCATAATATTGTAGTTGATGTCCCAATGTATATCTTTCTTGCTCTTAAAAAATAGTACGGTAGAATTTTAGGGTCAATTGCGTTCCTGGATCGCTTGCTTTCTTGCAAAAACGTTCAATTGTCTTCCTTTTAGGTTTCATGATTATCCTTCAAAGTTCAAAATAAGAAAATGACAGTGTTTGGGTCATCCATTAACGACGTTCAGGCGTTAACTTCTCTAGTTTCTAACTCCTACGGTTGATCCTAGCTAATATCCTATTGCTTCATTTGCTTTAAAAAATAACGTACCTGCACTGTACGTGACCTGCTGGGTACAGGTACAGCATACCAACTGCAGCAGCCCCGGACCCGGAGTGCTGCTGTGCAGCGTGCTACGGATCGGAATTGCCTTGGGCAGTCTGGCTGTCCACGAGCCTTCATCCTTGGGCGTTCTGCACTTCTGCTACGAGCGGGGGCGGCCCAAATCGCAATAAACAACGGTTGACGGATCGGGACGTCGCCAGCACCACGTCCGGACGCCCTACGTCTAGTGCTTGCACTCCAGCTGCCCGCATGCTGCTGCCGACACATGATGCTTTGCTCACCAGCCACATGCAGGAGAGAGAGAGCAGCCGAGCATGGATGCTCTTTCGTGCTCCACGTCTGCTGCCACACCCGCTTGGTTTCCCTCTGCCTGTGCACACTAGCCGCGCCTGCTGACTTGCAACATAAAGCATTTGCTGTAACATACGTCTGTAACATTGAGATCTACTTTTACAACATCTAGATGGAACACTTGCAATACGAGTCTAAAACAACTGAAACACGCTTGAAACATGCATATAGAACCATAGCAAATATATACAACATCTAGATAAAACACTTAAAACATATGTTTGAAACACCTAAAATGCTTAAAGCATAGGCTTGCAACATGCATATATGGTTATTGCAACATCGCAGATCTACTTTTGCAACATCCAGATGAAACACTTGAAACACAAAGTCTGAAACGTCGGCGGCAGCCATAGCCTACCTGGTGTGGAATTACGGTAGCCAGCAAGTTCGGGTCATGGGGACATCGAGAGCAACGGCTGGGCGACCTCCTCCAGGTGGCACGGTGCACGTCGTAGCTGCGACAGCTGAGGTGGACGGGGGCGCGACAGGGGACGCCCCACGCGACGGGGATGGTCGCGACAGAGTGGGGCTGGTGGACGGCGCGTTGCGGGCGCGGCAAACGGATGACACGGCAGACGCGGACGCTGCGAGCGGCCAACACAGTGGAAAGCTGCCGCTGCAGTCGAGAGTGGGGATGTTCGCAGCAACCAGATGAGTTAGGGAGGCCATGAAAGTGGAGAAATATTTGCAGCAAGCAGATGAGTTGGGGAGCCACAAGTATATTGTCTGTTTGAGCCCAATCCTTGACTGTAGATTTGGGCGTCTGAATGAATGCGTCCGGATGAACATCTTACCCACAGCATTATCGTTAGGAAGATTAGAGAGGCGATGGCAAATGATTTGTGTCAATCGCAGGCTACGGTCCAGATAAGGAAGGCAAGGAAAACTGAGGAAGTTGGGTACGGAAAATACAATAGTCCCGCGATGCACAGGAAAACTGGAGGAAAAAGAAAAAAAAAATAACACAGTGGAGATGCGGGGGATCGAACCCCGTGCCTCTCGCATGCAAAGCGAGCGCTCTACCATTTGAGCTACATCCCCTCTGTTGTTTTAATCGCAAGAAAAACTTCTATCTGAACTACCATAAGGTCAAACCCATACTTGAATACAGGTGACTGGATCAGTTACGTGTGGAATTAACACGGACAAAACGTAAACAAATGTTTTGTTCCGAAGTAACCATTTCCTCGGCACAATCATGTGCCATCGATCAACACACTTCAGAAGCCTTTGATGCTTCTGCATATATTTGATTTGAATTTGAATGCTAACTGTGTACATCTATTTCTACTATATTCAAATCACGAGCTCATTTTATTTTATATACAAGATCCCTCGCGCTATACTATACAAATGGCTTGTGCAGAGAAATTGACAATTAATTAGAAAAGAAGAAAGAAAACTGCACATTGCATATTTTGCTATACAAAAATCAAAGCAAAAACAAGTTGTATACAGTGAGGAAGAAGTCTTGTCTAGCCATTTTTCTTGTAGATCATATCGAGGTACCATGACCATGCAGGGGCCTATTCACTCTGTTTGCTCTCTCTTCTAATTGTAAAAGATCATTAGTACTGGCGATCTGACAGGATGGAATCACTCCAGGAAAGCATGAAATCACGTGCAACAGATGGTAAATCTGCATGAAAGCATAAGTAAATTCATCACACTTAAACCATAGAGGATGTCTTCCAATATCACAGGAATAAGCAAGCAGAATCTGAATATTTCATCAACTTACCTGAAGAACCTCAAGGGCAACTGAAGGCATATCTATTTGATCTTCGACCAGTCTGTATACATCCACAAGCTGCGAAAGAGGAAACGAATTACAGTCATCCATTGAGCACTCAAATCAAATATATTTTACAGGAACATCCACCATTTACGGACAGAGTACCTCTTCTACGTGCAATTTGGAGTCTTCAGTGAAGGCCAGTATAAGTTGTCTCCTGATACCAGCATCGATAAGGAACATCCGTGCTCCATCTTTTATTGTTTCAGTGAGATCAAGTTTGCTCTCTAATTGTCGATTTCTTACAGCTTGCCTGACAGTTCACTGGATCAGAAAGCTTCTAGGACGAATAACATACACAGGAAAGAAAGACAGTGTTTCCAATACTAACGAACTATTCTTTTTTCAGTGCAGGGTTGCTGCTCATCTTGGACACATTCTCCTTGGCAAGAACTATAAGGTTTTCTAGTCGTTTCCACTGGAATGCCCCATCTTTGAATAGCACCTGCACAGGGGGGGAAATGAGAAAAGTGCTAAAAACCATAACATGGTACAAACATTTGTAGTAATGCACTTGAACATGCATTTGAACCTTTCCATTTCCACAGCATAAAGTTTCCTTTTCTTTTCCAGTACCGATGCTTAAATTGACAATTTGGTTCACATAGTCCTTAAGTTGTGTCAATAGGGTCTAAACAAGTTACCTGAATCAGGCGTTCACGGAGAGCAGGGTTTGGATCTGTCAATAGACGCTTTGCTATATATGGATAGGCAACCTAAATATGAAGAAACATACAAGAAGGATGTTAGTAACCAAAGAATGCTCATTGCTGTTTTCTTTGGAGCTCAAATGGTAGCACATGCCAATACGCCATACCTCAAGAAACTTAAAATCACGCTTTAGTGTAAAGCAGATTCCTTCTTGCGTCAACAATGAACGAATAACCAAAGAAAACCTTTCTGGGATGCGGATTGGATAGTTGTACACAAGCTGATTGAACTTCCCTGTGATTTTGATTTTGATTAGATAATGAAGTATATCTTCCCTCAGATATTTTTTAAAGGAGTAAGTAGCATTCACCATACAACAACTTGTATGGTTGTATCACTTTAGTCCAATAGCTTGCAAAATGTGCAAACTAGTCATGTACTATGGTCCAAATACACACGAAGGAGCATCTGTGATAAGCTGGCAATATGGCATGGACCATAAATTGGCTTTATGCACATAAACCCATATTCGTTGCTTTTTTTCTGAAGTTTAGATCATCTTGGTCGTGTACGCGATATGGAATCTGAACCGTTGCATTGGAGCGGGGCGATCAGCAGTTATATATATCACATTGCTTGCAGAGAGAGGCAGGCGATCACATAGAACTTGGCACTAACTTCTCCGATGATAACTATGATGGAACCATAGCTACCCAATCTAGTTGCCAAGGAGATTCACATGACATACCCAGTGAGCATGAAGCTCAAGAATAATTCCACATTATTCCATAACACACGACCAGCCGTATGATTAGCCTCTAATACGCAAGGCTGACCCTTCTTCACCCACCTCCTCGTATTCCCCTGCATCTTCAGCCTCGTGTGCTCTCCCACCACCGCCCCTCCGCACCTGGATTCGATGGAGCCCATGCCGCCTCTGCTGCCGCCCTCCACCACCACCCTCCCTAAATTCAGGGAGGCTTCTCTAGAAAGGCAAGAATTCCCCTGCCTTCACTACATCCCACTGGCTTCGGTCACGCACCGCCACCTCCGCCATGGCCATCACTAATCAGTAATCCCAATCCCTTTTTCTTCTTCAGCAGTCAATTCCCTCACCGCCAGCACCGCCTAACCGGCTTCTTCCACCGTCCGGCGGGCGACGTCACGCCCACTGTCTCTACTGCCACCACTGCCATCCCTCAGCCTCCCCGAAGCCCCTTTTACAGCTGGAGAACACACAACCCCTACGAGGGGGGCCGCGTGTTGTGCTTGTGCATTAATCGCGCACACACGACCAGCACAAAGGCTTTGCGTACATATATTGCTCCTTACTATTATACACTTATATCCTATTATTACAACATTCTAATTTACTATTATTCTCGAGGGATTATTACACTTCTATTGTGAATTATTAAGTTCAATTCAATATATTTCTCTATGCTATCTAGATGTTCCTGATATATTTTACTCACACCATCTCCTCATGATCCTTGCTTGGACAAGACTTGGATGAATTGATTCTAGAATTTGCAAAATAAATGATGCAATCACTTCCCTCCATTTATTCTCTATGTTTATTTACGTGGGAGAGAAACAAGATTAATCTATTTATTCACCGGCCTCAATTTGAATGTTTGCAACTTGCAAATGAAGTGAACTGACAATGAGACAATAAGAACAATCATGTCTTCAACTTAGGCGTTATTTGAAAAAGATTGGCAGGGATGCAGCACAAGTCAGCAGTAGCGATCAGCATCATTGTCAAAGGAATGCTATAGGAACGTTTTCGTCAAAGTAATGCAATTTTGCATTTTGGGCCTCTGTCTCATACAAATCGTACTGCCTAAATACACTTGGTAGTTATATGTGATATGCACACATGACAACTTGACAAGTTGATGTATTCATTTGCACATTTTGCAAGTTGGTGGATTAAAGTGATACAACCATACAAGTTGTTGTATGATGGATGTAATTTACTCTTTTTCAAGACATCTAATATATAACATGTTGCACTAAGCATTTCTCATTAAAAGAAGAAAAAAATACATGCACTAAGCATGGGTAAGCAAACATGCTGAAATGCGGTAAAAATAATAATTTTCACAACTCATATGACCAACTGCTGAACAAATAACATGACAGCAAATTCAGAATATGACAATTTGTGTACAGTAAAATAAAACAATGCTACGCAAATCAATATTACCAGTCACACTCCGGAAATTGAAGTCCGCCAAGCCTTTTCCAGCAGAGTTTTGCCAAATGGATTCCAGAGCTGGAATAATTGGGGCTACATCTGTTCCACTAGCAAGGAAACCCAGCCTAGTGAAGTCATTTGCCATTTCAGCATAGTCTTCGTTAACAGCATGAACAACAGCATCGATTAGGATTTGTTTGTTTTGCTGCACAAAGAACAAACAATGAGAAAACATGTTAACAATTTCTGTTTCCTTGTATAATATGCAAATACGAAACAGTGCAAACATGGGTTCACAACACAGAGGGAATAACAGATTTTGCTGCAGGCTGCAGGACTACAAGTACAAAATGTATATATAGACAGGAAGCAACAATGAAAATGTAACAAACTGTAAGTGCCAAGAATTCTACCACTACAAAAGTGCATTTTACAGACCTGGCTAAGAACGGCCACATTTCCAAAGTCGACATAAGCAATACGACCATCATGCATTGCAAAAATATTTCCAGGATGCGGATCTCCATGGAAAAGACCAAATTCAAGTAACTGACGCAAAGCAGCACTCACTCCGACTGTGAGAAAACCTTCCACATCGATTCCAGCTTCTTTTATAGCCTGCATGAGTGAATTTGAAATCAATGCTGCTACAGAATCACACTGAACTATTGCACCATTACAATATAAACAATGATATGAATGGTCAAACCTGTGGGTCCGTACATCTAATTCCATCTATCCACTCCATCACCAGAACACGGGAACCTGAAAGCTGCTTATACACTCGAGGTATCTTGACAGTCGGATCATCCTTAAAATTTTCTAGGAAGTCCTCGATATTTGTAGCTTCCTAAAATATTGCAAACAGGAACTAAAATCAGCAGCATTCTATACACTTATCAACGAGAAAGAAATATAAAGGAATCGTTGTTGAAACATAATCATTGCACTCTATGTTAAGAACATGTGAACTGTAATAGCTAATTCTATTTCATTAAAATTGACAACAACAGTACAAAGGATGAGAAAATACTTACAAGAGTGTAATCAAGTTCTTCCAAAAGTTTCTCACCAAATTCATCAACAATAAGCTCCGCATTGCACCCTAGTTTCTGAAGACTAATCCCATTCAAAAATGAAGCCAAAGTGCGGAACAGGAAAAGATCTCGGTATATTATTGGTTCAATCCTGGTCTCTGAACCTGAAATTGTCAATGAAATAAACCAAAAGATAAGTATGACTTCCAGAGCACAATTTGTACAAAGAATATGATCATCAAAGGTTACAGAATATATTTATATTCATCCTTGTTTAAGGACCATAATTAGAAAGAAAAAAAAACAATGCATCTAGTTAGAAAATGAGTAAAATAAATGTAATAACAAGGAAGTAAACAGATAACAGAAACAAAATAAATATAGGAACCTTAATAGCGACATCCTCGCCAGTTTCTCTAAGTGTGGCACGGTAAACTTGGCCCAAACTAGCAGCTGCTATTGTCTCTGATGAAATTTTGCTGAACAATCTCTCTAGAGGTTGGCCAAGTTCCTCCTCAATTATGGTAAAAGCCACCTAACAAGCATTCAGCAATAAAACAAAACTTGGTTAATCACCCTGCTTTCATCTGTGCAAACTCTAATATGTGAAATCCTAAAGAGCTACTTGCAGGTACTTTCTGTTGTAAGACAATACCTGGTTAGGGACTGGAGGGACATCATCTTGCAAGATGCAAAGTTCATTCATATAATCCTCTCGAATAATATCAGGCCTGTTGGCTAGAACCTGAAGAACAGTACCAAAGAAAGTTAGGACAATTGTAAAGCTATATGATCAATGAATTCGAATTGTGCAATCAGACGTGTCCTTTATAATGAAGATTAAATGTGATGACCTGTCCTGCTTTTATGAAAGATGGGCCCAGATCACATAAAAGAATACGGAGCTGCCGGGCACGATATGGAACAATTTCTTCATCCCGTCCAACCAAAAAGTCATACACAAGAGATGACCAGTAAAATCCAAGTTTCCAAACTATCTCCACTCCCCGACTCGCAAGGGACAGTATGGAACCTCTTGAATCCAAGACTCTTTTCCTGACCTAGAAATTGTAGAAAAATGAACACAGTTGAAACAATTTTTAACCAAACCAATTCTATAAACATAAAAGAATGCAGATTCCAGTACCATTTCTGGACTGTACTTTCGGAACGGAATACAGACACCACGTTCAATATCAAGTTGCTCCATTGCACTGCTGGGTTTGTTGCTGGATATACTTTTGATAGCTGCGCCGTTGGTGCGTGGAAGTTGGGTTATGTTTTGAGATGATATTGAAGCACCGGTCAATGCGGCATTCATGACATAGAGTGCTGCTCGCCTTCTCCTTTGGGGCGCTGAGAAACTTGAATTTGCAAATCCATGGTATGCCAGACGTCGGTTGGTCGTTGTTGTTTGAGACCACTGTGCTGAAGTCCAGATACAAGCTGTACAAAGCTCCATTTTTTAGCCCCAAATGCTGATATCTGGATAAGATGGCACCCTGCATCAGCAAGCTTTAATCCCACCAATATGGAGCACTATTCCAACAGTATTTCTAGATTTGTAATTGGAAAAATGAATGAGTCCTATTCAACAGAGGCCGGAAGTAGATTCATAATTATTGTATCAACTCGATGTAATGATTATGAAATTTAATAAAATCCTTCCTTTATCGGAGAAAAATGGAGACGCAACAGTACAAGCATATATAGGCCAGGATTGTTAGGGTTTGGCTTATAGAAATCAGGGCCAGCCACAGCCGCGCGTTCCAGGGCGTCACGGGCACGAGCGGCGGCGGCGTCCCGCTCCTGGACTGCGGCGGTTGCCTCACCTTCGGCCTCAGCGCCACGGCCAAGAGCAGCGTCGCGTGCGGCCTTGGTGGCGCGGGCACGCTCGTCCAGAGCAGCGCGCCTGGCAGCCTCCTCTTTGGCAGCGGCGGCGTCGGCGGCGGTAGGAGGGAGGTGCTGCCGGCCATTGGAATTGGACGCAACCTGTGAGGGGTTCACGCCTCATGCGCGGAGGAAGCAAAGCAACGACGGCGAAGGGACGGAAAGCGAAGGAACGGAGCAGCAGAAAGAACTCTCACCTGACTACAGAACCGGCGGCGGACGACCCCGCCCTTCCCCTGTCCTCCCACGAATTTGTTGGGACTTGGGAGCAAACACTGCAAACTGAACGAATTGTCCTCAGTGCCGAGTCGCCGGCCGGCTGGCTCGCTGCGCGCTCTCACTTTCTTGGTTTGCGGGGGGAAGAAAGCCCCTTTTTTCGTTTTCCTTTCTCAGCTCTCTCTCTCCCTCTTTCTTTGTGTGTGGTCCGGAGCGGAGGAGCGGCGGCGCACTCGTTGCTGACGTAGACAAAGCCATGGCCGCCACCACGGCGAAGAGGGGGGTGGGAAATGCTGGCCACTCGGTGTAACGGCGTGGCCACGTCACGCGTGCCAGAAGGGGAAACCGTGCTATCCACAACTTGTACGGTGCTGGCCGCCTGATCGCTTCGACCACAGGGAATTTGCCCAAATGGCCAAATGTGGAAAGAAAAAGGGTTTTAGGTAGACATCAACAAAAAAGGGGCTTTAGCTTTTAGGTAGTGGTGAAAATGGATCCAAGGCAAATTCAAATAGCATCATATATATCACATACAAATTCAAATATTTTTATATGTGAATGCAAAGCGCATAGTTCGAATTCCCGTACTCCCGAACATGAATACAAAATGGATAGTTCGACTTCAAATTTGGATTCAGATATTCTATTCAATTTAGTTGTCTACAAGCAGTGGCAGAGCCACGTTTGGGACCATAGAGGGTCATGGCCCCCTCTTGCCAGAATCAAATTCCTAAAGTGCACATGTGATTCTCTAGCAATTTTCTTTCTAACCTTTGAATTTTTCCTTGGTTTGTGCGAATCACGGTCGCGGCTACTAGTCAGACTAGCCCTGTGTAGTAGCAACGCTCTCTGCTCTCACTGCATCGCCTATGCATACATATATTGTTGCTTCTTTGCTTCTTAGAGTTCTTGTTACTCTGACAGGCTTCACATACTAGAAAGTGCCAGATTTAGTGGTGATTTTTTTTTACAATTGAGATCTGTTGTTATTCTTTCGAAAGGATTTTAGACACTTTGCTAAATAATTTGCCCTAATCTATAAGTTGTGTATACCTTTGTTCACGTTGCTTGTTGTTTGGCCCCCTTTGTATTTTGCTTCTAGCTCCGCCACTGTCTGTAAGTATTCATCCACAAGTAGTTAGTAATTTTTGAAAACCCAATTCATATAGAAAATGAGAAATCAAACTACAGAAGATGGATTGGAAAACACGTGCAAACAAGAAAAGAACAAAAAGATCAAATTTAGAGAATTTTGTGCAAATTAAGCTGCCAAGAACTGTGTGCGGGTATATATTCCTCTCCACCCTCTCACCTCATAGCTCTTACACGCCAAGAACACTATAGGTGTGTTTGGTTCATTACTTGAACCTGCCAAAGGATGTCACAGCTCACAATGACCAAGTTTAGCCCGTGTTTGCTTTGATGACCAGACCTGCCGCGTGCCCAACTTTGCCTAGCACTTGTTAGTTCATTTTCTGCGCCATGTCTCGCCAAAAATCTGGTGCTGATTTCAGCCGCTACACTTGTGGCGTGGACGGAAGTTGGGTGCAGCTAGCTCTGGCTTAGAGCCAAACAGACCCCTTAAGCCCCCCCCCCTTCTCCCTCTCTTTGTGCATCTAGTGATTGACTCCTTGATTAGCGAAAAGAATTGGTTGTGGGGTGTGTGAGAAAGCTTGTGAACTCCATTTTCTAGATCTCTGAGCACTTGTGACCTTGTTAGTTCTTTGATTTCAATTTGTTACTCTTGGATTTTGATTCGTTGCAAATCCTAGACGGCTAGGCATAGTTCGGGAGCTCTGATCTGTGGTGAGCACCTGGAAGTTTATATTACCCATCTTTTGTAGTGAATTTGTGCACGAGTTGACATTTGTGGTTGCTTTGGCAAAGAGGGTGGAAGAGACTTTAGACCTTTGTGGTCTCCTCAACAACGAGAACGTAGCTACACCTTTGTGGTATGACCGAACCTCAGATTAAGGGAGTGTTTAGGACTGCTCCACAAACTCCACCGTGGAGCAGCTCTACAAAAACCTGGAGTTTGTGGAACAACCCTTTAGGTTCTCTCACAACTCCACCCCGTTTTTCTTGAACAGAGTGGTGGAGCTGAAATCGTTTAGTTAAAAAACGTGGAGCGGAGCTAAAAAACATGGAGCAAATCAATCCCAAACACTCCCTAAATCACGTGTTTATTGTGTGTCATTGGGCGGTGCTAGAACTGGTGGCAATAGCATAGCACAAGCATAGGGAGGCAGAGGGGCGCAACACCGCATCAAGGGAGAGGACACATCGGCGACTAATGCAGAGAAGAGGCAGAGTTCGGTGAAGAATGCGCCGCAGCAAGGAGGTCGGAGCGGGGAATCAGAAAAGTGCACAGCTCTAGAGGGGCTGCTGGACGGGGACCTTTTTCACTTGTGAACAGCAAAACACGCATATCACAAGACAATTTGAGAGGCTTCTAGACACCTTTTTAAAGGATAGGCTGGATTGTTCATATTGTATTGGATGGTTTCTATGAGGTGGTGAGCGAATTTGATATAAAAAACTATGAACACATAGATTACTCGTAGATAGGACGGTTCCTATGAAGTAACGACGTGGGCAGCCGAGGTGCCGAATTTGGTATAAATAAAAACGAATATGGGAATATGGTAGATTCGAAAAAAGAAGAAGTATCTGTCTGTATCCCGACCCAGCCCACTCAAGCAGGCAATGGGTACTATAAGGCCTTTCGATGCGGCCTAGCCCCCCCCACACACACACACAGACAGACACACACCCCACAAAAAAAAAACTGCCTTTCCCCCTCACCCATGCGTGTGTGAGTGTGTCCCTTTCCGTCGTGCCCCACTCGACGCACAGCGCACACGCATCGAGGCCGCCCCATCCGCCAGCAGGAGCGCCGCCGCCCGGCCGCCACGAGCCGCCCGACGTCGGCGAGTACGACCCGATCGCCAGCGAGTCTGCGACGAGCTGCCGCCCCCCGGAAAGTACGAGCAGGAGCAGAAATGGGTTTCTTCCGCTCGATCTGTCCCCTCTGTTGATTGATTTGTTCATTTCCGTACTGATCCACGTATTCAGTGTCTTCCCCTCCCAATTCCCCTCCTGATTTTTCCTTTTCCCTACTGGTTTGTCTTGATTTTTCCCAGCCGTGAGTAGAGGGCAGTATCGAGCCAGCGCTACTGCTGCTGATAGCGCTCCTTCTCCAGCCTAACAGTAAGAACAGCAATTGGGGGATTTCTGCATTGGAAAAAGCTTCAGCATTGGAAGACCGCAAACACTTGGATGATTTAATTGCAATAATAATTTGCTCTGGAGATATGCAGTGCAAGTAAATGATCAGTCATTGTCATTTCATTCTATTCTTTGCTAAAATACTATGTAATTTCAGGATTCTTACATACTACTAGGCTGCTGTTGCATTTAGAATTTTAATATACCCTGCTATTTACTTAATTTAACGTATCCATGTATCCGTACCCTCCCGATACCAATACATGTATCTGTATCCATGCTGCATGGGGCCCTAGGTGTGTAAATTCACCAACTCTACCACTGTGTGTAATTGTAAGCTTGGGCAAATAGCGAATGTAAAGAATGTTGATCCAACATAAGAAAGTTTGGAAGGGGAGGAGAACTTAGTTGTTATGTCTTGTATTATCTAGGTAGTGTTGAAATAGATATATATGTTTGGGGATGATACTGGATCTAAACTCATCGCCATTCTTGGTTGGTAAATTGAAATGACTGATCTAAGATAAAGGCACATGGATCGATCTAAGGATATAGCTATACTTGCCCTGTTCGTTTGGCTGATAAGCCATGGCTGAAAGTACTGTCGGCTGATTTGTTGTGAGAGAAAAATACCCTTCGTTGGCTGAAAAAGTACGGCTTATAAGCCAAGCGAACAGGGCGACTAATAAAAAACTTTGAATGAATAACTAAGTAGTAAATACTTATATTAATCAAAGAAAACTAAGTTAGCGAGAGGGGGTTTTGGAAGTTAATCTGACGATAGAGACACTGCCAGAGATGGCCAGGAATTGGTAGCAAGGAAGTGAACTCAAACAGTATCATGTCCATATTCCACTGCAAATGAATAACATAGCCTAAAGGACACTATCCCTTGTTTTATTATTATTATTTTAAATATTAGTAATAATTAATTAAAAAAATAAGTAGATCACTAGCTAGCCTAACCCTACATACATGCAAAATAAGGAACAGACGCTGCATCGCCGTTTTTCACATTCAACTCTCTCGCTCGCTCCCTCCCTCTCTCTGGTCAGTTCTGTGGTTCACAATAGCCAAAAGCCAAAACTAAACTGTGTAGTAGCTGGTAAAAAACGAGTTGTTGGCTCAGACTGTAGGTTCTTTGCTACTGTTGAAAGGGTTCTTAAGTTGCGTTAGTCAACTAGGTTTGTACCTGGGCTCAGAATGTGGGTCCATAGCTACTGTTCAAAGGGTTGATAAGTTGCATTAGTCAAATACTTCTACCAGAAGCAGATAGTTTAGCCATAGTTCGTTAAGGGTAGTGTTGTTAGAAGCAGATAGTTTAGCCATAGTTCGTTAAGGGTAGTGTTGTGCTAGTTCTGTTCTGTTTCTGGGTAACATATGTATTTATGTTCCTGGTTAATGGAAATGGGGTCGAGCATTGCCTAAAAAATGGGTCTGTATCTTTGCTGATTTTGCATTAAGCACTTTTGGTACCTACTCAGTAACAATTGCAGAATTTATCTATGTGCAGGTCGACTTTCATCAAGAAAGTGGTACCATTAGTTGATGAAGAGGCTGAAGAGACTGTTTTTGTGTTTGTGGATCAATGGAAATTGAGTCAAGATATATCAAAGCTCCAACAATAGGTGGAATAGTCCAACCTCTCTACACTATCTCTGCCTACTGCTGCCAATTTAATCACCTTGATTTTGAACTTTGAAGTCAAGGGAAGGTGGTGAACCATTTTGGTTCCTTGGTTCATCTTGCAACAGGTGTTGTCAACTTCATATCAGCATTGGCATTGCGTCTTGTTAGCAGTGAAGAAAATGTTATCTGTCTCCTAGGCTTTCCTTTTGAGGCACACTGCCCTTTCCTGCATCATCATGACGCTACCAGATGATTTGCTCATCAGCATCTTTCTCTTCCTCCCTCCACACCTCTCCTACCTCATTCGTTCTTCCCTTGTATGCAAGCATTGGCACTCTCTCATCGTCGACAATCGGTTCCTCCATCGCTTTCAGGCACTCCATGGATTACCTTTACTTGGTGTCTTCACCAACTCCACTCGCATCCCTCGATTTCTCCCTGCTGGGGATCCTCCTAACCGTGTTGCTGCAGCATCTTTCGCTCTACCTGATCTTTACTGGAATGTCCTTGGCTGCCGCCACGGCCATGTCCTCCTTGTTGATTCAACATGGCATCAGGTCTTTGTGTGGAACCCTATAAACGGCCACAAGCGCTTAATACAAGCCCCATCTGATGTGGATCCTCGTTTTAATTATGGGAATGTGCCTGAAAGCAATGCTGCTGTGGTTTGTGCAGCAAACCATGCTGACCATGGTTACTGCCACTCTTGTCCATTTTTTGTAGTATGGGTTTTCACCAGCACGTCCAACAGACACCTCCAGAGGCACCGGTGCGTAGTGGAATCCTAAGCTAGGATAGTAACGTGAAGAGAGACAGAGGAAGACCGAAGTTGACTTGGGTAGAGGCAATAAAAGGAGATTTGAAAGGATAGAATATACCCAAAGACTTAGCCTTAGATAGGAGTGTTCGGAAAACAGCTATTCACGTGTCTGAACCTTGATTGCTTCTGCTGGGTTTTAACTCTAGTCTACCCCAACTTGTTTGGGATTTAAAAGCTTTGTTGTTGTTGTTGTTGTTGTTGTTGTTGTGGGTTTTCACCAGCACCCGCTATGCTTATGCCACTAGATACTCATCAGAAAGTGGCAGGTGGGAGATGATGGAATCTTCACCAATACCATCTGATGTTGATTTCAGGCCTAGCATCCTTGTCAGGAATATCTTGTATTGGCCGTTGAAGTCAAAGCATATCCTTGCATTTGAGTTGGTCACACATAGGTTATATCATATTGTGTGTCCACCAGAGACATGATATATACAGGAGGAATGTCCACATCATGAAAACAGAGGATGGTGATCTAGGTCTTGCTGCTCTGGCAAAATTTAACCTGCGTCTATGGGCATGGGAAACTGATGCTGAGGGTGTTACAGGATGGGTACTGCACAGGATCATTGAGTTGGATAGATTCCTGCCGTTGGATGTATCATCTCTGCCCTCACCGGATAATGGTTCATGTGGAAGGCCTCCTGTCAGGATATTGGGTCTTGTTGAGGATGATGATTTGGTTTTCTTATGGACAATAACTGGGGTCTTTGCGGTTCATCTCAAGTCAATGAAGTTCAAAAAAGTGTTTGAGGCTGATGTCTCCGCAACTGTTTATCCCTACACAGGTTTTCGCATTGCAGGTTGAAAGGACCTAGGATGCCGCCTAGAGGGGGGTAAATAGACGTTTCTTAAAATTAACACATTTAAATGCGGAAACGATTTGGAAACTCTAAATTAAGAGTAATACAACCCTTATAAGTTAGACAATGAGTAAATAAACAATATTAAATAATCCTAGGAGCCTAGAACTTGCAACACAAAGAGTTAGAACACGAATCAAATAAATTAAGCCTTTGAGCTCTAATACCGGATGTGTCCGGTAGAGTACAATATACACGTGTTCTCACGAAACAGCCTAAACTTGCTTCTTTCGATTTCTATCTTCAAACCAAACCATAGGTACCTACTAGAGATGACAAGATACACGAGATAACATGTACAAGAGCTAGAGCAACATAAATATCAAATGAAATAATGAATTGAGACATGATATTTGTTTTATCGAAGTTCGGACTCGTTCGAGTCCTACTCTCTGTTGAGGGGGCTGCAGGTGATTCAGCGAAGGTCAGTCCTAGAGGGTATCACGAAGGTCACTCTAGCCGGAGTCTTTTCCAACTCCTTTTCCTCTTTCCACTAGTTGATTCTGAGGCGGCGGAATCGACCGTTACAAACTTTCTGAGGCACACTACAATCTCTCGGGTGCTCTCCGGCAATGCCTAACCGTCTAGGACCGAAGAGTCCAAGAGTAACAAATGCAAATCACAAAATAGACAATATGCACAAGTACTCAAGTGGTAGCTTGCTCTCAATTTTGAATTTCTCTCAACCCACTAATGGATTTAGCAATTTGGATCACACACTCACTAAGAGAGGATTTGGGAGAATTGGCAAGGCTCAAAAACATGTATTGCAATCAGCAGAATCAGCAGCCTCCAAAGGTGGAGGCTAAGGGGTATTTATAGCCCCTTTGAAAAACTAGTCGTTATGTAGCCGTTGCCATACCTGACACGTCTGTTATGACTTACACTGCGCCAACGGTAACTGAGTTAAAGTATGTGGGGGTGTCGGAACTCCCGGCGAATGCCAGAACTTCCGACCATCGGAACTCCCGACCCTCAGCTCATTTGAAAACTAGCCGTTGAGCTCTGTCCTACTATACCGACACGTCCGGTATCACACCGAACATGTCCGATGTGATCAGACAGTCAACTCTCTAAGTCAGTTAAGCGCGAAACGTCGGAACTCCCGACGATTGCCGGAACTCCCGACTTACGTCGGAACTCCCGATGAACCAACTCAAGAACACCAAGTATTTTACCGTGGCTGGGCAAATACCGGACGGACGTCTGTCCGATATTGTCAGACCAGCAAAAAACAAGTTAGCTCTTTTGTCTCTTAAACACTGAAAACTCACATGGGTTGACATGAGCACTTATGAATGATTATCTATCAACGTGATGCATCCCTCTTAATAGTACGACATATCTATTAAACTCAAGATCAAAGGAAAAACGAATTTATGTCGTTTGAGTTGATCTCTTTTGAATTGGTGTCGTCTCTTTCAATCTTCATCAAGTAAGGGTGCCAACATGTTGATATTGAACTTTTCACTTGAGCATAACCATCTTGAGCACATGACTTGATTCCATTCATCAAATATGAATAACTCCAAATGCATCAAGTCACTTCTAACACTTTGTCCAATATAGATTTGATCCTCCACATCAATATGACCATCTTAGTTTGATTAGTTTCTCAACTAAATGCAAGTACTTTCTTCTTCAGCCTAGCTAGGTTCTTCGGCCGCCAAGCCGTCGCTTGCCCTTCACCCTTGCTTAGTACCTCGAAACCTTTTCTTGCTATCTTCACTATCTCAAGCCATCAAGTCACATCTTGTGTTGAATCATCCATTCATTTGTAATGTTATATTTTTCATTTTAATTTAGCAAGCTTCAAATATGAGACCACTCCATATGCAATCCCTCATGTCTTATTAATTAATTCTTACCGTGCTTGCTTTCACATAGTATATGGAAATCCCATAATAAATAAGCCTTTGCATGAATTCCATTTGCATTGTTATCTTGTGCTTGAACTAGATTGTTTATACAACAACATATCATTTTGGCTTTCATTAAGTACACCGTGAGATAATCTATTACTGTCCACACTTAGCAAACAGGTTAGATCTTTAATCACATTGTCATTCAATCATCCAAAACCCACTAAAGGTCTAGATGCACTTTCAATCTCTCCATTTTTGGTGATTGATGACAACTTGATTAAAGCTTACAAAAGAATATAAATATTTAAGTTTTTTGAGTTCAATGATTTATGAGAGCCCCCTTAATATGTGCTTATGACTAGAATTCACAAAATGACCTCAAATGTCAATTGCACATACTAAAACATATATGAGACTCGCCTAAATCATTGCATCCGTTAGGTGCAAGTATGTGTGACAAAAGTAAAACCGTGATGCATGTGACAAGATATATCACACAAGAATAAATATAAAAGCATCACATGAAACATTTTCATTCTAGCATGCATGGTCCTTATAAAAATAAATACAACACATGTATGTCACACATAGCACTCATTACATATTTTCTCAAGTCCACAAACCACTAAGATAGATTATATTGTCACATGAGTCAAATGATACATCCATAAAGCATAAGTATAAGTCTCATCTCTCACATGATACAATCTATCTCAAACTCAAGATACATCAATGAAGCTCAAAAACTACAGCTACAATACATATCTCTAGGTACAAAGATAAACAAATGAAACAAGCATTCTGAAGCTTTAATCAGTCTCTCTCCCCCTTTGTCATCCATCACCATAAAAGTCCAACAATGACATACTAAGCACAAAGGAGTTGCAAGATGTCTCTGAAAGCTGTGATCACTCATCACCATCTTCATCTCCGTCTCTGCCTTCTCCTTCATCATCTGAGCGTGGAGCACCAGGTGGGCGAGAACCACCCTCACCAGACGGGTCATAGCTACTAGACCCGTAGTAGCTGAAGCCACATGTGAGGTCACTCCACCAGTCTGAAGCATACTCGTCTGCAGCACTGGGACGCGACTGAGAGTGAGTAGGCACATGAGCCTGTAGTGGTAAAGTGTCAGGGTGCTCTGGTGCCTACTGCTGCTGCTCCTGTCGTTGAAGAAACTCAGCAAACTCTCTGTCGTACTTGGCCTGCTGCTACTCCTCAGTCTCAGGCTCACTGGCTGCCTCATCTGATAGTGGAGACCTAGGAGGATCAAGCTCCAGTCTAGCAGCAATCTGCTTCAGAGTCCGAGTGTCCTTCCTCCTAGCCTCCCTCTCCTTCTGCTGCCTGGTCTGGATGTCTCTGCACATCCCAAATATAGCACTGAACATCTTACGAATAGGAGGAGGACTGCGACGATGTGAAAAGAACATGAAGGAGCACATGGTGGAGGGGAAGCTCCTCCTACTGCTGCACCACCTACAGGTGCATCTGCCTCTACTGCTACTGCTCCCCCTAGACCTGCTAGAGGTACTCCAATCTTAGCCAGATCTGCAACTATCTTCAAGGCCTTATGTACCTTGTCATACTCAAAGGTATGCCCTATGACCTGCTCAATCATGTGCATAATGTAGGGAGCAAAACCACAGCTCTTGAGGGTCCTCTCTCCAACACTTCTGATCTCACACCAGATGAAGCCGAATACACTGAAGGGTCATGTATCTGGTGCCATCTTGTGGAGTAAGTTCCTAGAATAGTCTGCTATATTGTTCTTGTCTCTACCCTTGCAGTCAATGGTCTTTCTGAATATCCTGTCTAGGTATCTATAGGTAGGGTAAAGACCTAGAACCTTCCCCACTGCTCCTCTCTCACCTCCTGGTGGGTACATGTAGGCTAGCTGCTCTGGAGGCAACACCTGCTCTGTGTGGATCCTGTCTCTCTGAAGATCATCCTCTGAGAAGCCAAGTAGAGCTGCAAAAGCATCATAATCCACACTGTACCACTGGCCCTCAAGCATCTAGTGCATATGCCTCTCATCCTCCTCAACATATAGAGTAGCATAGAATTGAGCTATCACCTCTGTGTTCTAGTCATGCTGAAACTCCATGATCTCATACACCCCTGTACGCTCACAAGTAGCAATAGCATGATCAATGGAGGACTTCTGCAATTCTCTAATATACTACCAATCAATCCACTGAGATCTAGCAATCACTAGGTTTCTGGTGAGGATTACACTAGTGTAGAAGTCCATATGAAAGGCTGTTTGAAATCGATGATCAAACTGAATCCGAGGCAAGCTCCTTGGATCAATTCTCCTCTCATCTCTGCCTCTTCTGGTCATGCCTTTCCCTCGATAGTCAACTCTAGAAACATAAGAGGGTACACTAGGTGGATGTGTCTCAAGTAAGCCATAGTGCATACCCTGACCTAGTTGGTGCTGAACTAGAGGTACTACCTGCTCCTCCTCAATCTCTTGCTCATCATCTGAGCTGCCACCATCTGAACCTCTATCAGTGCTCTTCCTCTTTCTGTTACTGGGCTCCACTCTATACTCCTCTATATCTGTGTTAGAGGAAGAACTGCTGTCTCCCTCCCTGTACTGTGGAGCACCCCTAGTAGCTCTGGAGAGTCTCCTGCTGCTGCTGACTGTATCTAGGATGCAAGTCCTGTCTTGCCTTCTTGTATTTCTCTAATGCTGGATCATGTCTATGCTTGGACCTAGGCTCCTATCTTCCACTCATGGCTGCTACCCTGTATTCAAAGATTTGCAAGGAATTTTAGATACATGTCCAAAAGATAGCTTATTTTAGTTGAAATATAGAAATAAGAATAATTATCCTATGCTTTGCAATCAACTCAACCAAACTAGGTCACAAGGTTCATAAAACACAATAGACAATTAAACTTAGTCCTAAGAATCAACCACTAAGAAAATTGAAACAAGGGAGCAGCAATCCTCACCTGTCAGCTTTGCATCATAAGGACATGTCCGGTAGTAAGCACGTCTGTTATGAGCGGACAAGAAACCCCTAACCAGGGGCCCTTGGCTCAATCTTCAAC